TATCATCTAATAATTAAGTTAAAATCATGTTGTTTATTGTTGGTCCAATGTAACATGTTAATATTAGGGAGAGCAAATTACAAATGTGTGGAAGGTAGCAAATGAATGGAATTAATTCATACCTGTTGATATAAACTGTAAAATGCAAACTGTACATGTATGCTAATTACATTTGAAAGTAGTTTTTACTCTTAGTTAGTCTCTACTCTCTAGACTAGCACTCACATAACTTAAAAGTAAGTCCATATAAATTATTTGAGATTGTTCACTTGTTTGATGCTTAGAATGCCATGATATTTGAAAACTTAGAGCAAGCAGCATTGTTCTAGGGACTGCTGTGGTGGCCTTTACCGAAATTGGTTTTCTCTTGGGTATATCCAGCCGCTTTCAGCTTCTAGTTGTAGAACTAAGAATGGTTCACAGCAAACATAATTAATGATTCTATTACTAGCCATCAGTATTAAATGTTGGTAGGTTTTTGTCAGTTTTGCTCAAGTGCTTGCAAGCAGTGGCAGAGTGCTTGTTTGTCAACAGAAAGAAATTTTATATCTGAAGTTGAGCTGCAGCTAGTTATGTGTCACTTCATAGATATGTGTCTGCTTATATTAGTAACAATAGGAATTGCTCCAAAGACAGCCTCAGCACTACAGCTAATGCCAAAGGGAATCATTATACACTGCACATTATACCAGTTCATAGAACTTGAAACTCCAGTGTGGGTGAAATAATATATATCCATATAGTATCAGCCCCTCAAAAACCATAAGCCTTCACCTCCATTAAATATATGAAGACTATATCATGTGTTTGATCTGCAGCATGTGGCCTGCAGGGTAGAAACTAAATGGACATTGATCTGCAAAACAGAGAGAAGAGGTGTGTCCACTTTCCTGCATTCCTTTCTTGTCCTTTTCTTACTTTCCCCTTGCATGGCCCTCATAACTGGAATGTTATAGGAACATACAATGTGGGAGGGAGTAATGTTGAACAGAAAGTAAAATTTAGGAATAATGGGGGAGAAGAGGCTACAAAACATGCAGAAAAATTCTAGGACACTTGGCAGGCTTTTTGGACTCTGCATAACTCTTCTTCCTGTTGGTACATTCCTAGAAATGACAGAGACTCCTGCTTCTTCTAAGGGCATCTTAAGTATTTAGTGATACTTACATGTTAAACATTTACATATTAAATCTTTGACAAGTATGGTGTCTGTTATTCATTGCTTCTGTAGTTAATATAGTTCAGATATTTTGGGAGGAATAAAAGTAGGGTTCAAATTTTTACTTTATATGCATTATTTTGCAGTTATTAATGTTCAGATTCAGTTACCATAAGTTACTCGCTTAGCTGAAATAGGATGAATGGTGGAAGAGCAGCATGGTAACTGAAGTGGATTTCTAAAATTAAAACCTTACCTCCAACTACCGTGTTTCACAAGCTGTTTTTTTTTTGTAGCAGCTATTCTAATTATGTCATAAACCTGATAACCAGCTCACATGCTGTATCCATACCGCACAATTGAATAAGGTTTACACTTGTTCCTTCACACTGCCAAATTGCTTGGTTTTGAAAAATAAATTTGCACACATTCTGCACACATTCTTGGCTTTGGGCTGGAGATTCTGTCCCTGTGTACGTTCACATCTCATAGCTCCTGCTACCAGCCAAACCACATCTTATGAAGGCATCGTTCACAATCACCTTCCTTGCAGCTCGTATTATCCAAGTCTCTGCAAGCTTCACCCTGCACACTGAGCAATCATCTTGCCATCGATACTATGTAAGCTAAACGGCTTTTCCTGTAATGGCTGTTTCACACCAAAGCCAAATAGGCAATGCCACTGAGGAAAGGTAAGAGTGCTCTGCTTTAACAGCAATCCCATAGGTCCGAAGGGCGAGGGAATAACAGCAGGTAAAAGAAGGGAATGCATTAGGCAAAATGCAGACTGGAAGAGAAGTAAATGGCTGGACAGGAGCAAAGGAGGCTATAGAAACAGGAGTGGCTTAGCAAGAGAGGAAAGGAGGCTGGCACAGCTTGGGTCAGGAAGCTATTAGAAGTAGCATGCAGAGTCCAGTTGAGCAAGGAGATTAGAAGGGCTGAGCAGTGATTCTGGTAGTAGGAGGGAATGATACAATTGGGCAAGAAAAGCAGACTGGATGCATATTGCAGAAGTTTAGGATGAGATGCAAGACTTAATGAGGAAAATAGAATGGAAGTTTGTAGCTAATTAACTGGAGAGGGGAAAAGGCTGAAAGAGCACTTAAATCTAATGAGAAGGTGTGAGATGGAACTGGCTGGACCAGAAGTATGTGGTATCTGAACTAGCAATTTATGGTAAAGGAGGTGAAATGCAAGAGGAAGAACATTTGACAGGGAGCTTAAATACATTTTTTGCACGAACCTATGCTGGTCAATAAATTCAGATGGTATGGGAAAGGGAGCTGTAGAGAGATGATATGAGGCAGGTGATAATGGGAAGAAAAAGGGACAGCTCTGTGGCTAGGGTAGCTTAATGCTGATATGGTGCTCTGAGTTATTACTTTGCCTCTTCCACAGAATCACTGTAGGATGCTGCATGAGGATGAGTTATTTGATGCATTCAAAGTTTGGCTATAACTCTGTTTTTCCATTTTCAGAATGGGAAAGATGTTTGCAGTATCTCTCATAACTTCAACTAGTTAAGAACACAGATAAGTAAAGCATGCTTTAAACATAATACTTTAAATTCTGAATAGTATTCTTATGATATTCATTAAATGAAGTCTAGAGTTGGATACAGATTACCAATAAATTTATTATTACAAAGAATACCAAGTAACTGTCCACTCACTAAAGGGAGCAGCAGTTCTGTGGTAAAAGACTTCTGCAACCATATAATTAAATGCTGCATCCTGGAATAGCCTGAATTCAAGTTTCTTGTGCAGCTTAGGCCTCCTTTTGGGCCGTATTATTTGAGACTATTCCAGAAGATGCACATGCAGAACTCAGTTGCTTCACTTGGCAACATTTTCTGCAAATCATTTGCTAGAGCTTTTCAACATATACAGGCTTTCAGCAGTTGTCATAATTAAGACTGTTGGTTTAGATTATGTAGAGAGAATTTAGTTACATGCTTTCTCAAAACATTTGCAATTATTCACACATTTGAAGGTAAATGAACTGGTAACAGTGGAAGAAAAATGAAGGAAACTCTGATGATTTCACTAGTAATGAGAAACCACAGAACACAGTGGAGCTCTATAAAAGGTGAAATGGTAGATCTGGAAGTTTGAGGAAACCAAGAGAGACCCTAGTGCTTAGTTTTGATTAAAGAATCACAGAAAATAGAAAGACACCTTAAGGATCATCCAGATCATTTTTAAGGATGGTGTAGAAAGAGAAGAATGGAAAAAGGATATGGAAAATAAACTGTAAATCAGGGTGTATTTCTTACTTGTATGGAGCAGGTAGGAAGCAGCATTCCCTCCATGTTGTAGAACAGCTAGCAAAACATATAATTTGGTCAAATTCAGAAGTGTGAAATATGAACAGGCTTTTGTTAAACAAGTATAATATCAAAAATAGGAGATGGAATAGGCCAGAGGTAGAACCGTGAAAGGTAAAAAAAGGCAAATTTTAAAGAAATGCAAAGTTCCTTTCCATGAAGATACATACAAAGAGGAAAGTGGTATTCTTTTACTACACTACTACATGTTACTACTACTGCAGTTACATATTTCTGCTAATTCTACTAATATTTGTTAATTGACTAGTACTACTTCCTGCTATTAGTAGTATTTTTGTATTACTGTTGATAAATAGTACTTAAAACTACATCACTAGGAGAAGATATTTAGATAACTATTGCCCAAGAGTGTGCTTGCAGTTAAATGTGTTTTAACTTGTTCAGCATGCAAAGACATTGCTTACAAGGCTTTCTAGTAGAGCTCATGCCCACAGGAAACTAAAATTTAAAGCTCAGAGAATCAGGGAATAAAACATACGGTTATATGTCCAGTTATAGTCCAGAGTGCACAACCCATCAGGACTGTTGTCCACATGCAGCAGTGGTTTCCATGTTCTTGGCAAAAAAGGTGGAAGTTTCTGTAGGTGTGTAAATTCATGTGTATGTGTATGCACACAGATAACACCTTTTCCTTTATTGGTGCAGAAAAGAAATTAATCTATTTCCTTGAAAAAAATAGTGAAGTTTTTCCAACAGAAGGAAAAAAAATCTTGCTACTCTCCTGCCTTAAGGCATGAAGTTGTAGGTCTCTAGCCAACGTGAGAAAATTCTCAATCCCTTCCTACATACAGCTACACCCTAAGCCACAGCTGAGTCTCATCCTCTGCTGCCTGCCAGCTAGGGCAGAGTTGACAGGCTAGGGCAGGATTCTTTGCTCCAGCTCTGCAAGACTCAACCCACCCCATCCAGTTTAATGCAGAGCATATAAATAGAAGTTAGACAGTTTACCTATAAGTAAATAAGGATCCAAATTACACCATTTCAAGTCAAATGGCAACTACCAATCACATTCTTATCTGATATAGGTTGAGTGTCTTTTTTACCACAGGTAAAGACATGTTTCCTCATTATTATTGCAGATTTGTTAATACACTGAATGTTCACACCCTAGTTTATCTCACACTTACCTGCTGGGAATAGCATAAACAGCAGAAGCAAGCAAATATTAGACACAGACAAAACTATCGAAAGATGGCTATTATAATTAAGCAAAAAACCAAATTTCATCCTCATCATTTTCCTCTTAGACTTAGTTGTGACATACATTTATCTTGCAGGAACATCTTTGATCTAATCTTTAAGCATATTATAGATTTCTTTTCATAATCTGAAATTGGAAATAGGGCTTGACAGATGGGAGTACCATAGTAAATGAAAAGCAGAGCTGTTATGTTGTCCTGGTTGTATTGCTGAAATACCTTTCAGTACAAAAACAAACAAACCCCACTACATTCCTGAAGAGGAGAATGACCAAAACTGCTAAAAGGTGACAAAAGATCAAGACATGCAGGTGATGATGAGTCCTTAGAGACACATTTTGCAGAGGCTGCTTCAGACACCGTTGAATTCATGCTAATTTCACATAGATGTTCAACAGGCTCCCTTCACTTTCTATGGGAGCTCACTGCTTAAAATTATTGTTCCGATTACTGAAGGACCTCTGCTTCAGAAACACTCATCTCTTTTTCCAAGATCATCTTAAAAAGGGAAAATATGAGACTTTTGGTAAAGGAAATAAAGCTTGTGTAACAGTGTAGCACAACAGCCTGGGTTCTGCTGCTGGGAAGACAGTATCAGTGAGGAAAAGATGGCACATCTCAGTGAAGTAGGAACTCGAGGGAGGTTGAGCATGTGTGAATCCTACCTATAAAGGAGGGAAATAGTAGTAATTGATATCCCAGAAGAAAAGTTAAAACAAGTAATAAAAACCCGGGAAAGGGGGAAAAAGAAAAAATGCGGAAGGTTCTTTCAAAGGAACATATGAAAGGTCATGTAAGTGATGGTTTCTCCACAGAAATTCCAGAGATGGATAATTAGACCTCCCATTCACTATAGCAAGTCAGATTCCAAGCTTATTTAGTGCAAGTATGGTTGCATAAGAGGCCCCACGTTTCAATAAAATTTAACTTATCTTCCAACTTTTGGTTAATGATCTAAACTAACTCTAAGGTTCTTCTCCAAAGTCCTAGGTTCATAATCTTCCTTTTGAATGCGAAGTGCAATCTCCCAGTGAACCTCTCAAGGACATCTTCATTTCTGCTCTTCAAATGTGCCATTTTCAGTCATTGACCTAAAACAGTGACAAATTGCAAGAAAGTCAATAGAAAAAAAAAAGTGGAACAAATGTCAGAGTAGGGATTAATGTGTTCTGAGGTTTGCTTTAACGCTACATACTCTGCTTAAAGAGTGTGAAATACTTGCACTAATACCAGAAAATCGGGAACTTTTTTGCTTTTTTCTCTCCTAGGCACTAATTATGAAGAGAATATCCTAAAAAAACCCCAAAGCTCTATGCGTGACAGTGGATTCTTGAGTTTGGAAGTCAAACTAGATCTGCACATACCCAGAATTTGCACCCAAAGCAATACTAATGCAAACAAGAACTAGGAAGTAGTACAAAATTCCTAACCGACCTATGCCATAAGAATCAGGTATTTCTGCAATGCTTGTGAGCAGCCACTCCATAGCCATTGCTATATAGATACCTTCTTTGACTGCATTCTTTCCTTTTGAAGGTAACATATCTTTCTAGCCAGTTCTAATAAATTAGTATATCCAAACAGCCTTTAGGTGATTAGGATCATCTGGGAAATATCTGATCTGCCACAGGCAAGGCTGGCTGACAGTTTGTGGAAGGTTCAACAACATTTCCTGAAACACAGTTTGTTCAGGATTAACACCAAAGAGTGGTGGAACATATGGTATCATAAGGTATAGTTTCTGGTTTCTGCCAGAAGTTTTCTTCTCAACCGGGGCTAAAACACAGCTTTCAGCTAATAAACACATATTCTAAGATATCTGCAAACAAAAAACAACAAAAAAACACTTCAGAACAACACTGCAAGTATTATAAAGAAATATAGAAACATCATCTCTTTCCCTTTTATTTCACTTCAGCATTTAGGCTTTTGTTCCTGTGTTCCAATTAGAATTGCATTCTAGAAACTCGTTCTTCTAGGTTAGGATCCTCTCCTAAATCCTAATCTTAATTTATAAATGGTCGGTTTATACTCATATGTCTTTCATAACCATTGCCTTTCTGCTTAAACTGGTCCCTGCTTGGTGTTTACCTGGTTCATATATTTATATACAACCATTATGTCTAATCTCACTCAGCCTTTATTTTTCTTTCCTTATCCTGTCAGTAGCCATATCCGCACTTGCTCCTGTAGTGTGTGTCTTTTTTGCTTATGGATTTACTGAATACTCAATCTTGAAGTCCTCCCAGCGTCACTCCTACTTCTGCCGCAAGTACCTTGTCTGGTAAGCATATCCTGATGATACAACTGGGTCACACTTAAGTTGTCATCATTCTGTATCAGCTAGGACTTTTAAGACTGTTTAGCTGCTTCCAATTATCATTTCCAACTATTTCTTGAGATGAAACATCTTTTTCTGTAAAATATCCCATCTCTCCTCCGTATCAATGATGCTTCCAGTTTAGTGTCAGGAGAGTACTAATCACGTTTATGACATGGTCTCTAGTGACTATATTAAAATTTAATAGTTTGTTTCTAGACTGGAATTTGTTTCTCAAATTTTCCAGATTCATTAATAAACTTCCGAGTGGAACCATAAAATGTTTTATTGATAATCACTTGGATAAGGTGTGTCAAATTGCCTTTGTCTAGAAAAAAGGAGTTATTTGGGGAGAGGAGGGAACAAGTAAGTCCATTACAATCTCTTCTACTTCCGTATGTAATCTCTTTTGAATTACTGTGGGCAACTCAGACCACATTTGGGGATCAGTCAGAAATGAACCACTTCTGTCTGTAAGCAAACACTGTATTCCAGTCACATAATAGCCTATGGAACTGTCTTCATATTGTAGTTAATTTGGGGATTAGATTTTCATCTCATCTAATTTGATGGGATGAAGATCCACATCTCTCCTATTTCTATATTCTTACTTTAATTATATTAGCCAGGAGTTGAGAAATATTATTGAATCAACTCAGGGATAGAAAACGCCTTCCAACCCAGTTTCCCAGAGATAAGCTAAAACTCTACTCAACATTGAATGTAGCCATGAAGAGAGAAAAAATGGAAGTTAAGTTCAATATTGGCCTTTCTGCTCCAGAGCTGCTGGAGGCTGGGGCGCTCCCTATGAAAAAGTACAGCAGCAAGGAGCAGTTAAAAGTCCTGTAATTACCAAATATGCCACAGGATGGTACCAGAGGGTTGGTTTGTAAATCATTCAGGGGGTACCTATAGTAACTTTGAAACAAGCAAATGTTAATGGCAATTATCAAAACAAATATTTTATAATATAGATACAAATGCTAGAGACTATAGAGGGTAATATTTGCATGTGCTGTAACCTTAACAGATAACTTAGCTAATTTTAGCATTTAAACTATTTTCTTGGTATGTGTTCATCTCATTTCATTCCCAGTCTGCTGTGTGTCTTAGAGGTGGTTCTGTCTGTTTACTATCAACAGTGGAAATTAATATTCAAAACAGATCTTTATTACTTGTGAAAGTAATAAAGTAGCCTTCTTTGCCTTTCTAACTTTGATTTCATAGAATTTCTGTAAAACACATTATATAGAAACAATATCAAGTGGTGATGTTATTACAAACTATAGCAGATGTCTTCATTTTTCCTTTAAGCTACCGAAAGAATGTTTAATGAGCATATTCATTCAACCTTTTTAGTAGTTAAAATAATCTAAGTTTCTGTTCATCTACTTTGGGGAATGTTTCACTTGTCAGGGAAGCCATGAAGAGGCATAACTATAAAAAGGCCCAAGAAACAGATTCCAGGTTATTTCTGTGGTATGTTATGGCCCTTCACATATGTAAAAACTGTGCTATGTAAATATTCCAACTTAATAGTCAATGCAAGTATTCAAAAAATTATATGTAAAACAACTCTAAGTAACTGGCATGGTCAGATACTTTGTGTTGTGGGCTACAGAATTTAAACACTCAATGTTAAGACGAAAATGTTAACATTAATTTCACTCTAGTAGAAGTCCTACACATGTTAAAGTCCTTCTATTGTCTCAAATTTATTTTGAAGATAATTACAAGATCCTACCGAACTTCCACTATCACTGAACACAACCCTAAAATCTTTTGATACAAAATATAAGAATATACAGCACATAGTAACTACAGGCAGTTTTCACAAAATATTATCCATCTTTTTTTTTTTATCCATGGGAATTCAAAACTATGGTTTATGTAATCTAATCTAAACAAGCTAGATTTAAATATTAAGACTTACAGGAATATCAGGATAGCAGAAGTAAAATAGGTGTCTTTATTCAGAAATATTTTTGCCTTTCCCTTCTGTACTTGCCTCACAATTACATAATTCTCTGATTTTGCTTATAGAAGTCTTAACCTCAGTAAGGTTTATCAAAAAGTAAACATGAGTAAAAATCACACTAGGTAGTCAGTATTCTCAGTCTGCAGCTCAACATCCTGCTTGCAGCCCTACACACTTTTACTTTGTTCAGCATCAAGTTTATTGTGATTTCTACGCCTTAGAGCCCTGTAGCCGTCCGTAGCATTTTTCATTTGTCCAGTGGATGTATGAATGAAGACCCAACAATGGGACTATCTGGAAATATTTTCTCGGTTATATGTACGTTATTGCAGTAACAGGTGGTCCAAGGGAACTCCCTGGTGCCTCAACAAAACTGTCAGTATGTTTTATAGGAAGCAGCTATTTTCAGTGCTATTCTGAAGTCTTCATTAGGAATGATAGCAGCATTTAGCCACATTTGCAATCAGAGAGCCTGGGTGAGGCTTCAGAGCTTGCTACAGCATTCCTCATAAACGAGGATAGGAATAACAAGTCTGTAGCAATGACATTTACTTTGTTTGTGTACTCAGTTACGTTATTTTCCCCGTTCAAATGTTCAGATGCTTGTTTGGAAAAAACTATAAATTTGATGGCATACTACTGATTTAGAACACTTTAGGATTTGGACACTGGGACTTCTCTTGACATCTGTAGCTACAGAAACGTATAAGTAGTGTTTGATATGTTCTGTGATGTGAGTTAATGTGTTCTAATGGCTTTGCAAAATTGCAATTGTTGCATGGAGTAACACTGCACTCCTGACTGTGTTGGGGAAGTTTTCCTATTTCACCACCAGTGAAAGCCAACCAACAGCTTTCTTCTCCATACAGATCTCTCATTGTAAAGGAAGCAATTAAAAATTACACTCAACCACAACTTATTACAATAAAGCAAAAAGTATGAGGAAGAAGTATTTAAGCCTTTAGTGAAGAATTACTTCTAGACTCAAACTCTTATAAGCACAGTTGCACCACAAATTTCACATATATTCATAAGCAAAATGAACTTGTGAACCTGCACATGACCCAAGGACTGGATAAATAACCCAATTTTATCGGAGCAGGGGGAAGCTGTGGAAAAGGTACCTCACTCTATAGGTGTTATATTAACTGACAAGAATTCAGGCAGTGGCCTCCAGGTGAAGACAATTAAGCTATCCTACAGATCAGGAATGTGTTGGGAGCAATTCAATGACTGGTTATAAAGGAAGGAAAGAATGTGTCCTGCTTTTCCTTGTTAGGGCTTGCTACCACCCTAGGGACAAGCTCTGGAATTATTTTGCTCTGGAAGAAAAAAAGGGGGTTATGTTGCTTCTGAAGCAGGTGATCTGAACAGCTGAACCCTTTCCAACTGTATCAATACATTTAGCAAAGCTCCTTTTCAGATCTAATGTTTTTCCCTCCTCCTTTTTTTTTTTTTTTTTAATGCTTGCAAAGCAGGAAAATCCTCGTGTGATATACTACTTGTTTGTAAGGATATGTCCCCACCACAGGTTGCAGGGAAATAGTGCTGGACATTGGGATTAGAAGAAAGAACCTAAGACTAGATTGGTAGCATATTCACCAGTATTTGGTAATACAGCTACACACTAAAAATCGAAAACAGATCTCAACCAAAATGGAAAAAAACGTCAATGGAATTTTAAGTGAAGCCTTGTGTACTCTGGCACCATGCCAAACCACATGGAACATACAAAAATGCAATATAAAGCATTTATAAGATGTCCTCAAATATTTATTTTGCTGCTTGAGATCTTACGCTGCTATTACTTCATTCTCCTTCCTGATTTATTTCACACATTGCGCAGAGGCTTTGATAGAGTCCTCGTTCCTGCAACCAGTTCTAATAGTGTCTGTCTTCACCGAACTGCTTCTGTGGCAGGAATCACACAAAAACCCAGTCTGAATTTCAATCCCCTGGTCACTGCCTGGGACCCTCAGATGTCTAAACCACCAAAAGGAGCGATTCTTCACACTGTTCTCGAAGCTGTGAAAGCCACTTTACAGGATGTTGTGATTCCTGCAAGTTTGCACATTTTTAAGGGACTGCACAAGTTCATGGGAGGGCACTGAGAGTTACTACCTAGATAGAAATCATGTATGGCTCAGGAAGCTTGAGCTGGAAGGCCAGGAAAATATTATAATGTAGGTCCAGTGTTGCTTGTCTTTCTTAAATACCCATTCACAGCACTGTTAGGAGGAGGATACCGGTCTTACTGGACCTTTGGTTTTACCCAGCCTGGTCATTCTTGTGTTCTCATTTTAAAGCACTACATGCATTCAGTTCTAAAGTGCCTTCTACACAAATAGAAATATAATGTCCTTGTTTTTATTGCTGAAAATTCCTTACCTGAGAAATAAGGTCCATGGGGTTGTAAAGAGACCTTGATTGAGATTAATCTGTAGCATACTAAATTTCCTACATCAATGTCTTGAAGATTTCAGGTCTTTTAGGTCTCTTATTTGGATTTTGGGAGGTTAAATTTTATGAAAGACCTGGTCTTTCATGAGGGTGCTTTTATTACAGTATACTTTTTACACCAGTAAATTATATTTCTAAAAATCTTATTATAGACCACAATGGTGTATGTGTATAAAACTGAAAATATAGATACCAGTTATTCTCTGTTGCTTAGTCTTCTGTGATCAATATCATTTTAAAATATGCTGCTCTAATATAGCTATATTTTCTCAGATATATATCTATTAAAAGTAGTGCAGATCTCAAATTGTTAAGTAAATAATTTCTTAAGGAAAGTGTTCATAAATAAAGAGCAGAAAAAACAGGTTTCCGTTGCACAAGTATTAAATAATAATAAATACTTAAACAAAGACCAGAGTCTTCTCCCGTCTGCTGTTCACATCGTACATTCCAATAGCATCCGCTGCCTTACAGCAAGTCAGATTCATCATTGCTATTCAAAGCAACAGCAGGAAACCAAACAGCCAAACCAGTGTTGGTCTTGGATTAGCAAATTTGGGCCAAATCCCGTGAGAGATGATGGGGCTGCAGCACTTGCCTGCAGGGTGCATGTCAGGCTCCATGTTTTGTGAATAGGAAAATCTAGGAACTTTATTCTAGGACACTGTGTACTCTGAGCTGATGGCCTTTAATGGCTATAGGGAAACCCCCTGCGGTATTTAGGGGTTGCACCCAGGCTGCAGGGACCTTCCAGGGGTTTAGTCTATGAATTAGCAGACTGTAACCTGAATAATGAAGTCAAATTATTTGTATTAATTTGATAAGAAAATATTAAAACCACCAGGATGAAGAATATTGAGTTCTTATATAAAACCACACAAACATGACCCTTCCTTTAACCCGTAACATGGGTTTAAAAAATACAATACCTGGCAACCAAACCGCACACAGGTGCCACAAAGTCCACAGGACTGGCATAGGAAATTACAGGGATTTTGGGCCACAATAAGAAAACAAAAGTCTAGCTTCATCTGAAGCAAGTTAAGAGTTTTCAGCTCCTTCTACCATCCCTAACTGTGCCAGGTTATTATCCCTAGCTTTGGCAGCATCATGGCAAGCTGTATTTGTTCTCTTGGCAAAATGGCTACAGTTAACTACAATATGTTTAATTGCAGGGAGTTCTTTTAACCTGTACCATTTTTAGGACAGCCATGCCACAACATTGGAGGAAGAAAGAAATGGATAAAAACAGACCTGGAATTAGTAACCACTTAACCCTGTACAGCATGTCTTACTGCAGTCTAAGTACCCTACCTGCTTTTCGGACCTGAAATACACCATTCCATCTGTCAAAAAAATATTTTTCATTTACTCTTTAAGATTTAATAGACAGACCATTTCCTTAGGCCTCATTTTCTCCAGTAACAATCAGAAGAGTATGTTTGGAGGATTTGTTTTTTTTTTTTTTTTTCCCTCCTGCACTTGAAATCATCTATTGTTGTTAGTAATCACACAAATGAAAGTAAGGACAGGATTTCTAGGTACTTTTTTTCCTCCCCATCCAATTTATCAAAATATTTGAACTACTAAACACTACCAAGATTATCTAAAGGCATTTTTACTTTGCAATGAAGAGCAACAAGGGTCAGCATGCTCAGATCTGGGATTTGGAAAAGTTCCAGCAGCAACAAGAGAGAAACCCAGCAATACTCGGTGCCGCTGTCCCTGCCCTGTAATCAGGGCCAAAGCTGAGCTTCAAGCCACAGGCCAGCAGAAGCTGCAGAGCCACCAGCTGGGCTGGCAGGCGAGTCCCAGCGCCCGCAGCCCTCCCTGCTGCCTCTCGCCCTGCGGAGCCGTAGCCGCGCTACCAAAGCGCAGCAGATGAACGGCCACCTACCTGCAGCTCCTAGCCAGGCTTCCGTGTCCGTGTTGAGAGGGCTCATTTCTCCCCAGCCCTTCATCACGAGGCCGTCTCTGCCCTGCCCGCAGCGGGTGCTGGCAGGACTGGTGGGTGCTGGGGCTGAGGCAGCTCCAGGGGACCGGCACCACTGGTGGTGTTCAGCAAAGGGTGCTTCCTTTACTCCCACCCGAGCTCTCCTTCCCCCACCCCATCTCCTTCTCACCAATTGCTCATTAAAGTGGATGGGTTTTTTAAGAAATTGCTCCTTAAGTGCATGTAAAGCAGGTGCTGCCTCACCAGCAGCATTGATCTCCCCTGGGTGATTGCAATGGTATCATTGCAAGCCCAGCTGTGCTTCTCATGTCATGCCTCCCACCTTCTCTTGAGGAAGTGCTTTTACCTGTGGGCAGTTTGTCACAATTAACTCAGGGTGCTATATAAAAAGAGGGGATGGGGGAAAGTGTTTTGAGCTAGCCTAGCTGATAACTAGAAAGGAAAGCCTGATAAGTTTTGGAGCTTACAAACTTGTCCTGGAAGGGTGGGAGAAGCCCCAAAAGATCAAAGCTGTATGAAGTTCTGGATAACTGCCCTGACTTAAATTATGTGTTTATCAGCTAGAGCATCTGAGAGAAAAGTTAGTTGCTAAGTACCAAGTAGAGGAGAGAGCAGGGGAAAAGAGAAGTATTAGCAGAGGGAGAGGCCTGGTTCACTGTGTGGGAAGTATGCAGGAGTTACCTTGGTGGCGAGCTCTAATGAGATATTGAATAGGTGGTAAGGCTATGGCTTTCACTTCCCTTGCTCATCTTCTCAAGCGTTTTGTAGTGTACCCTGGGGATCGGGACTGAGAAGCTGGGCGTGGGGTGATCCATCCAGGTGTCGCGTCTGCAGGACCAGGCTGCCTCTGCTCCCGGTCGGCTCTGCGGGTTCATCCTAGTGCACGGCGGCTGCCGCAGTTTCACCCACGCGCTCCCCCCGAGGGCTTCAGGGAGACGCTCCGCTCCAGGAAACACGCATGCGCCCGGTTAGCAACACGAGCGTTCGTGCAGGTGGTGGGGACCGTGGGGCTCTGAGGAGAGAGCTGCTTTTATAAACCAGTCAGAGGAGCAACAGGTAGGGAGAAAAAATATGTATTTTTTTTGTTGCCAGATAGGGTGATTTTGTGGAGGTTATTTTTAGAGTTGGTTTTTGGCTGCTCTTCGGTGAGTGTTCAGTGAGTAAATCTTAGCACGTAGCTATGGGCAAGATCTTGTTTTTCCAAAATTCTTATGTTGCCAACTATAATGGTATCTGAGTTCTGAACTGTTTTCTGATATACAAATTGCACTTGCCTTTTACAGGAGCCTGCATATAAGAAGTGGTTCTTGGAAAAAAGTGGTTTGTGGCAGTGCTTGTTTAGCACAGGGTTCTGTGCACAGAGGGCTGCATACAGGGAAGGTGGCATCTCCTAGTGCTACTCCTAGAAGCAATTCAGCTAATCTTATCTACAGTGACGCTCTGAGCATGGCTAGAATCAAGGTCCCTTCTCAGGTGTTGCTCATATTTTGATATGCCCAGTTAACAACACTAATATACAGCTCTATATTACTGAATTCTTACTGCTCACAGTGAGATATATTAATTAGTTTATGGCTTCCTGTTAATCCAGACTATTTAGCTTTTCTGTAGATAAATGGAAGAAAAGAGACAATATTTTGAAACTGATTTCTAGCTAGAACTGGGAAAGTGCATTTATTTTAACAGTGCCAACTAGATACAGTCCTTCTCTTCACAGTGCCCGGAGGCTGCAGTTTAGAGCAGCCCTACTCAGGCAGATTTTTCCTTGGATTTCTTAAGAGACTTTGTGTGGGGGTAAAGTACTATTTAACATTGAGAAGGAAGAAGCAGGCACTTGGAGATTACTCTGTGTGTTGCTTTTTCATAGAAGAGATGTGCTGTAGCTCTTCACTGTTTACATAGGCTCCTTCAGGAAAATATTTGTTTTAAAAAATCACACAAGTGTTTTCAGTAAGTAATAAGTGGCTACTTACAGAAATTTCAGTGTTCTTGGTGAAGGCAAATTCAGTTCGAATTCATCTATCTCTTCCCAGAGAACATAGCCTTGCGTTACCTTCATTGCCCTGCTCGTGATTATTTGCCTGGTAGTCACTCAAGGCTGTTCTTGTTCATCACAGCGGACTAGTCCTACTAATAATAAATAGGCCTGCACCTAGATTAAGTGCTAGTTTTGGTTCATTTTTTTTGTCAAGTTTGGCAGCCAAATTGAGAATGAGAAGGAAGAAGAGCTCTGAACACCTGAAATCAAAAAGGTCAGTTGATTGTTTTTTTATTTTGATGAGGTGAAAAAAATCTCAGTGCTTCACTTGTATCCCTATAATGTGGCTCATATAGGTTCACATCCTATTTTCAAAAGAAGCTTGAAACAAGGCCTCCTGTGCTGCAAACTTTTGTTTCAGTTGGAGGTGTCTAAAACAAAATTTTGCAGAAGCATAAAAACACTTTACTATTTATTTTAGTTACTTTAAGACATTGCCTCTGGATCTGGCCTTTTTGCAGAATAAAAAATTGTGCCGTCAAAAAAACACTTGTTAAATTCTAACACAGACACAGGTAAGCCTATGTGGGAGTTGAGAGGGAGAACATTAACAGGTGGAATGTCCCAAGCATGACAAAACACATGTTGACATCAGGGGCAGTGAAAGGACTGGAGCTAGGTATATGTGTGTGTCGGCTAGGCTGAAAAGTCCCAAGAAATGGCATAATTATGCTAAAATAAAGACATGGTTGTTTTCAAAAAGTGAGCCTGTGATGGGGAGGGATTCTGCCATAACTGTGTGCACCTATTTCTAATAAAGATTTAGTAATAGGTAGTGGCAGCTGCCTGGTATGCTGTCCTTCGGTAAGTATGGCTGGAATTTATAGTTTCTCCTTTTTATTGCTATTGTACGCAGATCTAATCCTTTCAGTGACATTTCCTGCAATAAACTTATAATACTTTTCCTCATTGTTTGATAGCTGATAGTACTATTTAACTTGCACTCCCTACTGTAGTCCCTGCTTTCACATTAGATTAGTTTACAGTTGTTTGCTCTGGCCTGATTTTGACACTGCTGGGCAAATTACCTGAATGATCAAAATCTTTCTGAAGCCCAGGGCATTGTCTGCTTAGTTTGCTTTTCTCCAAATTTTGTATCAGCACACTTGAAGAATTTTTAACTAATTACAGCATTAAAAAAAGTGATTTAAATTTAAAGAAATTATTGAATGGTGCTTAAAATTAATGCTATAACATTGGTAGCAACTGATGGATCTATACTTGCACTTTGCTACCATTGAGCTAATTAACTAGAGATTAAATAATGTGCCAACTTGCATTAGTGCAGCTGTGTAATCTTGGGCTTCATGAAGTTGGCACAACCTGAGAAGAGGAGAGCTGCCACCCAGCCAGGAACACCTCAGGGCCCCTGCTTTGCACACAGGGTGTAGGGAGAAGACCCAGCCAAGTTGCTGGTGAGGAAGACTTCATGTTGCAGTGATTGGGTTGGAAAAGGGTGGCACGAGGCAGAAGCACAGATGGGTATGTCTAGGGAGCCAAAAAGGCATCAGTTGAGAGAAAACTCTGGGACCCTTGGGATACAGTAATGGAAGGGCTGAGGGTAGGTTTGGGGGGGAAGGGTGTTTCAAGAAACTGCTGCTTGGACAGCCCCGAATGGGCAGCATGCAGGGGCAGATGAGGTGCAACAGGGAATCGCTGCAGCAAGAAGTGGATGCTCGTTATTCCTACATCATCCAGTATAGGTCACATCCCATGTGTGTCCTGTTCCAGGACTCCTGGATCTAAATGGCCTTTTATTAGCAAGGAGTGAAGCATGGACTTTAGTCCTGGCATCCAGAGCATGAAAAGCGCCTGTTGCCGTCAGTCATGTGGAGCTGGTGTGGGGATCTGCACAGTGCTCCTGAGATGTCTGCTGTGGGAGACCCTGTAAAGGAATACCTACTTTTCTGACCAGAATAACAGGAATGTGTGTGCAAATACAACAAAATTCAAAAGCTAAAGCGTGACCGAAGCAAGGGTGCTGCAGCCCAGCTCCCGTTCAGGTATGCAGTACGGTGGGGTCCCGCTTGATTTTGGTCCTGCTGTGCGTGTTCCTCACGGCACGAGCAGCGCTTGCTGGGGAATAAGGGGAGGGGGACGCGGGAAGCGCGAGCGCCGCAGCCCCGGCAGCGCGCGGGGCCCCGCGGCCACACGGAGCGCGGGAGGGCGGGCCCGGGAGCCGTGCTCATTAGCATGCTCATTAGCATACGCTTGGCATAGCCCCGCCCCGCGGCCAGGGGGCGGTGCCACGGGCCGCGCCGCGGGGCGGGAGTTCAGCGGGC